AAGTAACACAGTCGCTTTACGGAAGTAACACAGTCGCTTTACGGAAGTAACACAGTCGCTTTACGGAAGTAACACAGTCGCTTTACGGGATTCGAGTACACTAGACGTAGTGTCGCGGGTGTCCAGTCGCACAGGAATTCTGGGGGCGCTCGGGGGGTAACGGTCGGCCAGCCTTACGCAAAGTAGGGTTGCAAAGCAGGTTTCCTTCGAGATCCTGAGGTCCAGCATGCGGTTCAGTGGCCAAAAGCTGGATTCTTGGCTCTAGCGTCAGTTGAGCCACACCCTTCCAGCACACTTTGCCACAGCATGGGTCCATTCGTCGGCGGGCCGGGGCCCGGGGAATGCCTTTGCACTGCCCTCGTTCTCATGAAAGTAGGATGAGAGTGGCTAGTGTTTGTAGTCTCACACCTGGCTATTAGTATTCGACGTCCCTCCTATGTTCCTCGATCCAACCCTATGACGGTTTCCTCCGCGTATCGACCGCACTCCGTTGAGTATCCCATATAATCCCCTCATGTTGCAAATACATGGGTAAGGTGTTTCCTACCGACTCGATTCCTGTGTAGCCACTACCCCATATTAACGTGGATCTGAAACGCGGTACGTGGCTGGGCTCCTCTTGCCATGCAGACACGCTGGGCCCGTCCAGACTGTGTGTGGCCCAGCATGACGCCCGAGATGGGATGAAGTCATCCCGTCTGAACAAGTGGCCACCATCGAACAAAGGTGGGATGGTGATGGGGGCCTAGACCAAGTTATAGGATGAAGCAGCAGATGCCATCCCAGCCACATCTTGACAAGCTACTGGGGACCTGCAGCACCCCGTTAGCTTTACTTACAGGTTTTAGGCCCATATCGCTTCTGAAGGCCGCCGCCATTGCCCAATGGGCATAAAGTCCCTCCCCAGCATGCCTTAAGCTCGTGACGTAACAGTAGGGGGAGAATGACGTCCAGAAAAGCGGAATGATGAGAGAGTACAGGAAGGTTGGGATACTCATTGAGAGGACATGAAGTCCATTGAGAAGACTGGGCATATAAAGGACGAGAATCATGGGGATTGGATGTAATGTACCTCAGTCCTAGACCTTAACAGATCGACAGTCTTACCCCAGTGCAAGTCCAGATCAATACTTTATTTCAAATCCAAGCACATATTTCATCCAGCCAAGACCTGTAACACAGCCACATCCACAATGAGCGGCATCGCCCAAAAGTCGTACCCGGGCTCCTGGCCCCAAAGCAAGCGCGGCGAGACCGCTGAAAGCCCGTCCGTCGAGCATGAAGCTACTCCGCGGACGAAGCCGCCGCTTCCCGAGGACATCGACACCAGTGGTGCCAAGGGAGAATCGTGCGGTCAAGGCGCAGGCAGCCATTCCGAAGGCTTCTCGCAGAACGGGGAATACACCCACAAGCAACAGCAACCCGACGGCGGAGAAGCTGAGGAAGACGGTGACGAGCAGATCAAGATGAACGATGTGGAGGCGAAGGAAGAGAAAGTAACGGAACACGGCACGGAGGCCGAAACAGCACCAGAGGAAATGGGGAAGGATATTCCGGAGGCGCAGCAGAAGCAGTCAGAGGAGAAGCCAGAGGTGGAGGAGCAGAAATTGTCAAAAGAGAAGCCAGACCTGCAGGAGCAGAAGCCAGAGCAGCTTGAGACAGAGGCGCAGGAGCAGAAGCCAGAAGATCTCGACACAGAGGTGCAGGAGAAGAAGCCAGAACAGTTTCAGACAGAGCAGCTTGAGACAGAGGTGCCAGACAAGAAGCCAGAGCAAACCGAGCAGTCTGAGATCGAGACAAAGGCCGGAGGCGAAGAGACGGAGCAACCCGCCAAAACGGCCAGCACCACCAAAACGTCACTTACCGAAATGGCCAAACGGGCATTTGACCAGGCCTCTCAGAACCAACCCACCGACGAAGCGCGGGACGCCTACCTTGAAGCGAGCAGAGCTGGTCAGTCCCAGCCGCCTGAAACAGAGGCCCCGGCGGCGCCAGAGGTCGAGGGCCAAGAGACGTCTGAAGCTCTTCAGAAGCAACCGACTGAGGCCGAGGACGACCAGCAGAAGTTGCAGCTAGAGCCTGAGAAAGACCAAACCGAACAGCAGCAAAAGTTGCAAGAAGAAACCGACAAAGAGCACCCCGAAGCTGAAGGCGAGACAGCAGCCCCAGAAGAACCGGAAACGGAACCAGTGGACTTTTCCATCCTCAAAAACGGCACCGTCAACAAGGGCGGCAACGTCGTCAACGAAGACGGCAAAGCCGTCGGCCGCGTGACCGAAGGAATCCTAAAGCACCTCATTGGCAAGAAGGTTGATGAGAAGGGCAATATCTGGAGCACCGACGGCAAGATTGTGGGCAAGGCCGAGCCCGTCTCGGAGAGCGAGCGCGACGAGCTGCTCAAGGAGCCCGCCCCGTTCGAGAGCTTCCCCGATGCCGTCGTCGACAAGGACGGCTTCGTGGTCTCTAATGGCGAGCAAGTCGGCAAGGTCATCCAGGGCGACCTGGCAATTTTGCGGGGTAAATCCGTGGACCCGGATGGCGACATCCTCGACAAGGCGGGCAATGTGGTCGGCAAGGCCGTGCGCTGGGAGCCTGAGCCCGAGCCGGAACCGGAGCCGGAGGTTCCCGTCGACAAGTCCATCCTTGCCGGCAAGCGCGTCAACAAGGCGGGCAATGTTGTCGACGGCAGCGGTGTCATTTTCGGCCGCGTCGTCGAGGGCGACGTGAAGAGGATGGTCGGCCGCATGTGTGACAAGAACGGCAATATTCTCAGCGAGAGCGGAGACATCCTCGGCAAGGCTGAGCTCGTCCCCGAGGGTGAGCGCGAGGGTCTGAAAGAGGGCCCCTTTGCCGAGCTCGAGGGCTGCACCGTTGCCAAGGACGGTACTGTAGTCACTCCGGCAGGAGACATTGTCGGCCGGGTCATCAAGGGTGACGCCAAGATCTTGTTCGGGCGGGCTGTCGACGAAGACGGTGATATCCTGGACAAGAACGGCAACGTCCTTGGCAAAGCAGAGCGTTGGGAGCCTGAGGCCGTCGAGCGGAAGAAGAACCCCATGTCTGGTCGCAAAGTCAACCGCGAGGGTAATGTTGTTGACGAGGACGGTAACATCATCGGCAAGCTTACTTCAGGTGACCTGCAGAAGTGCAGTGGAAAGGAGATTGACGATGATGGAGATGTCGTCGACTACAAGGGCAACGTCGTCGGCCACTGCAGCCTCATCGAAGACATTCCCAAGGTTGAAGAGGAGTCTCCCGAGGACAAGGAGAAGCGCGAGCAGGCGGAGCAGGACAAGAAGCTGGCCATCCAGATGTCAGTCTGCATCGAGCAATGCCTCGACAAGATCCGGCCCATCTGCAAGATGATCACAGAGGTCAGTGGCCCTCCTCCCCTTATCACCACCGTAGCATGATCTAACATGCCAGCAGAAAATTGACAAAGCCGAACGCACGCCCGAAGACGAGCGCGACGAGGAAGCGCTCGTCAGAGAGGTGAAGCCTCTGATCGAAGAGGGCGGACGCATCCTCAGCGAGGCAAAGGGCATCATCAAGGGCCTCGACCCCGACGGCCGGATCGCGGCCAACGCCAAGCACAAGTCGGCGGCGCGCGAGGCCACGCCCGAGGAGCATCACCTCGCCGACGTCCTCAAGGACCTCACCGGCGACGTGACGCAGTGCATCGACAATGCCAAGCGTAAGCTGGAAGACATGCCGCACGCCAAGAAGGAGCTGAATCCGCTCTGGGGCCTGCTCAACGAGCCGCTGTTCCAGATCTTGGCCGCTGTCGGCTTGCTGCTGGCTGGAGTGCTTAACCTTGTGGGCAGATTGGTAAGTTTACTTAGTTCTTCGTGTGTACGCTGCACGGGGATAAGATGCTGACAATTGTGTGCACAGCTGGCCGGGCTTGGTCTTGGTGGACTTGTCGATGGTTTGCTTGGAACCTTGGGCATTAGCCGTGTCCTTGAGGGTTTGGGACTTGGATCCTTCACTAAGAGTCTGAAGGGCGGCAAGAAGAAGGGTGGTGGTCTCCTGGGTGGTGTGCTCGGCGGTTGAAATTGTGTAATTACGAAGTGATGTTACGAATCTCCTCGGCAGAACTGTAAATCAGGGTGTGGATAATATTCAGGTCAAATGCGGAAATAAACATGGAAACTTGCTATTGAACGGATCAAATTGCAATCTTGGTTTGATCGAATGTTAAACTTAACATCTACATATCTAATTATGAGAGTTTCAATCATCAGAAGAAAATGACCAGCGTTACACTAATAATGCACAGTACACTTAAGTACAGTAACTTTCAAAGGGTGGGTCAGTGCGAGTCCCGTGCTTCCGCACCACTGCGACAGGGATCGCGCGTTCCTTCCTTTTCTAGACGCGGTCCCAGCTCCTTGGGTCTCAACACAACCATTCCCTCCCCAACTTCCATTCGATTTCTGTTCAGGAAGTTGAAGATCTGATCTGAAATCTGAAACAGAATTGAATATGTTGCATGCTGCTTAGTAGTTTACGACAGTTCTCTCCCTTTACATTCTGCTGTCTTCAGAACCCTCCACGCGTATCGGTATCCACTCACGATGCCCCGTCAAGCTAAGCGGCCTCGTGCGGTGGTCGACTTGACCGCCGATGAGGCTGGGGCCGCCCGACCTGCAAAGTCACCGCGCCATGCCCCATCCTCCAGCTCGCAGCTCTCTGTGCCTGGATCCAGTCAGCCATCTATCTCACTCTCCCATCTACCCTCAAGCTCGGCTGCGGTGCCGCCTTCGTCTTATGATGAAGCCCAACGGTTGTCGTTTCAGAACCCTGCCAACGATGAGGCCGAGCCCTCAACCCAGGATTTTACTCAGAGTGACGACGGCCCTGCGCATGAGTTATATGGTCATTTTGGTATGCACATCATCCAGGCAATCGACGTGCCAACGCTGACGCCGGGCAGACGGCAAGATTGTGGGTGTACGATACTACACAGGCGTTGCTACGGCTGGCGAAGTCGTTGTCTGCAAGAGAGAGCCCTCAAATCCGGTAGCCCTAACATGGTTTCCCGTCACAACAGGTCACCACAAAGCTGACTCGAGCTTCCAGTACGATTCCAATGCAATCCGAGTGGACAATGTATTGGGACACCAGATTGGCCACATCCCAAGAACAGTAGCAGCGAAACTTGCCGAGTACATTGTATGTCCGGGAGGAAACTAATTGCTCCTCAAACACTGACACGGTGTAGGACAATGGGGACATAACGATTGAAGCAATACTCACTGGCGAGAAAGCCTTCTATGACTGCCCTATTCGCATATACATCTACGGAACAGGTGACCCCCTTGGCCGGACTAACCTTGAAGAACGGCTCAAGAAAGATAAGCTGGTGACTGCTACGCAACTCAAGCAGACCCGCAAGCAGAATGAGCAGCAACGAAGAGCTATGGGTTTGAAAAGTGGCAGAGGTACTGCCGGAATTGCACCCAGTGAACCGGAGGTTTCCCTGGAGCAACTGGCCCAGACTAGTCAGGCTGTGGACTTCCGTGCCGCTGGGGATATTGCTCAGACATTGGCTATGGATGAAGACCAGCTCTCCCAGATGCCCCAAGCGAAGCAACCAGACACCCTGAAGGCCACGCTGCTGCCATATCAGCTTCAGGGCCTCGCCTGGCTGATGGCCAAGGAGACCCCCGCTTTCCCTGACCCAGGTTCGTCCCAGTCTGTGCAGCTCTGGAAGCGTGACGCCAAAGGCCGTTACATCAATACCGCGACCAACTTCGCCGTAGCTTCTCCCCCTAGCCTTCTGTCGGGCGGCATCCTGGCCGACGACATGGGCCTAGGCAAAACTCTTCAAATCATCAGTCTCATCATGACAGGCGGAGAAGGGAGTACGCTCATTGTCGCCCCAGTTGGCGTTATGAGTAACTGGGAGCAGCAGATCCGGCGACACGTATCGGAGGATCACGTGCCAAAAGTGATCATCTATCACGGAAGTTCACGCCAGACTGCTGCTAAGTCGTTGAAGGATTACGGGGTAGTCATCACAAGCTACGGCACCTTGAGCAGCGAGTCCAATGGTGGCGCCTTGTTCAAGGTCAAGTGGCGCCGCGTGGTTTTGGATGAAGGACACACGATCCGTAACGCCAAAACCAAGGCTGCTGTGGCAGCCTGTCAACTGGACGCGCAGTCAAGATGGGTCCTAACCGGGACGCCAATGTAAGTCTGAAGTGTTGTGCTTCCTGACCTGGCTAACACATATTCTAGCATCAACAACATCGAAGATCTTCATTCCCTGCTCAAGTTCCTGCGCATTACTGGCGGCATTGAGCAGTCCGATATCTTCAACACGGTCATTGCAAGGCCGCTGGCGGTTGGAGATCCTCGTGCTGAGGCTATATTGCAATCTTTGATGAAGGATCTCTGCCTCCGCCGCCGGAAGGACATGAAGTTTGTCGATCTCAAGCTTCCGCCAAAGACGGAATACATTCACCGTATCACGTTCTGGCCCGACGAAAAGAAGAAATACGAAGCTTTGCTGTAAGACATCTTTTCAAGCCTCTTCAGCTTCCGCTAATTAATGTCCCAGTTCCGAGGCGAAGGGTGCTCTTGAGGAATTCCAGAGCAAGTCAAAGACGGGCCAGAAAGGACGATTTCAAGGCGTTCTCGAGAGACTTCTCCGTCTTCGCCAAACGTAGGTCCAATCTTCCATTACTGGCTACGGTGTACTGACAAGCGTAGATGCAACCATTGGACTTTATGCAAAGAGCGCATCGCCGATCTGCTGAAGCTCCTCGAGGAGCACGATGTCGTCGAACTCAACGCCGAGAATCGCGCCCTCTTGCAGCAGGCGCTCCGACTCGTCATTGAGAGCCAGGAAGATTGTCCGGTTTGCATCGAACCGATGACGAGCCCGGTGATCACCCACTGCAAGCACGTATTCTGCCGTGCTTGTATCACCAAGGTGATCGAGCTGCAACATAGATGTCCTATGTGCCGCGCCGAGCTGTCAGAAGACAAGCTTGTCGAACCGGCCCCTGAGCACTCGGCAAAAGAGGAAGAAGAGGAGCTCGACACGGAGACCAAGAGCTCCAAGACCGAGGCTCTTCTCAAAATTCTTCAGGCTACCCTGAAAAACTACGGGTCCAAGGTCATCATCTTCTCACAGTGGACCTCGTTTCTGACCGTGATTCAGCGGCAATTAACCGAGGCTGGCTATGCCTACACCCGTATCGACGGGAGTATGAACATGACCCAGCGCGATGCCGCGATCCGGTCTCTCGATCACGACCCAAACATCCGCATCATGCTGGCCAGTCTGGCCGTGTGCAGCGTCGGCCTGAACCTTGTCTCGGCCGACACGGTTGTTCTGGCCGACAGTTGGTGGGCTCCCGCAATTGAGGACCAAGCTGTTGACCGTGTCCATCGGCTCGGCCAGACCCGGCCGACCACCGTGTGGCGGCTGGTCATGGAGGGCACTATCGAGGAGCGTGTGCTCGACATCCAGGCTGAGAAGAGGGACCTCGTCACCAAAGCGTTCCAGGAGAAGCAGGGAAAGCAAAAGAAGGCCAAGGAGACGAGGATGGCGGATGTCTTGAAGCTGCTTGCTTGATTGCGGTCTGTTATCAATGGAGGCATGCGGTGCTTGGAGGCATGGCATCAATATTTGCTGTTATGTTTTGGTTCTCTTGCCGGATATATTCAGGGGAATGGGCTTGATACACTTGCTGGGTTTCATGGGTGCATAAATTCACTGCTGCAAGGCGGCCTGTGAGGTATAGCTCTGTCTTGGTAGACGATTTGCTTCCTAGTTTCACAACGAATCGAGTGTGTTATCCTCAATCGTGTGGTACAGCGTCAAACACGGACGCACTCCCAAATGCTGTCTTCAGTATCAGGATGGATGGCAACATTCCCAATTCTGTAGGCCACCTCAGATACTTCCGCTCAACGGACGCAACAAGGGCAACGTCGCGATGATATCCTACACGTAGAACTTGGTGACAAAATGTGATTGAGTGCCTAGTGCCCAGCAGGATTACAGTATTTGCTCAACATTACGGAACCAGGCGACCTTTGAAGTTGCATTGGGTATATAAGTCATGTCCCCCTTCCTACGTTCAACCCCCACCGGGCAATGCCACTGGAGTGAAATGGCTGAGCGGTAGTATATAAAGATCATCTCTACTTCTGACCATGCCTTGCCACCTTCAAGAGAAGGGGAGGGTACTCGTTCGATTCAAGCGAGCTAACTTTTTCTCGTAGCCAACTCGGGGACTGCACCGCCACCTCCCTCTGCTCTGCCGCATGTGCGAACTTCCTCGCTGTAGGCCCTGTGTAAACAGATCTGGGTTCGCGGCGATCAAATCCGCATTGTTGCTCTTGCTGCTGTTGCCGTTGCTGTTGCTGCTGCTGCCCGCGAAGGGAGGGGCCGGCAAAATGGCGACGGTGGCGGGGGAAACCACCGAGATTAAGGGCAGCTGCGGCGTCGGGAGAGATATCCGCAGGGATGTTCACCAAAGAGGCCCTTTGCGGCTGTTGTTTACCTGCGGCGACTCGTCATGCGAGTACTCCGGGTTGATGAGCCACTCCTTGCTGCAGACCTGAGTGTCATTTGGGTTTGACTCCCTCCCTCCATGTCCGAGTTCTGTTCATGTTCGAACTAGCACCACTGGCCGCGACGCGCCAAGCAACAACCAGTCGACATGCTTCTTGGTGGAGGTAAGCTGGCAGATGAAGTTCGAGGCAACACCCCTAACTCTCCTTGATCTCACAGCTGTGCTCGAGGCCCACCCCACACTCTCCACCACATATCAGTTGCACAATGTGCTACTGGTTCGCCGGGTCGTTTACCTGCTGAGACTCGTTACGCAAGTGCTCCGGGTTGAAAGCAGGCCCGATTGTCGTACAAAGTGGCTGACCTGTACGATGTGTTGGGTCTTTCATCTGATGTATCGTCCTTCTACCGTGAGTTGCTGAAGAGTGCTGTGATTGCCGAAGGCTCTGCAGAGACGCATCTTCTTCATGGCGTACTGATGAAGATCCGTGCCGCCTTTGCAGTCTTGCTCCGTGTACAGACGAGGTGGCATCAGGCGCTTGAAATTGTCCGCGTTGTTCATCTCCTTTCCCTTGGCATTCTGACAAGGGAGGCTCTGCACTGCACTGCCGTATATGCTCAGTCGCGGAATGAAGGAAGTTTCTCAACAAGTTAGCACTCGATGGGAGATGGCCCCATAATAGGTTTCGTAAGCTCACCCGGATCCATACACCCCTGGGTATCGTGCTGCAGGTGGCGGGCTCGCCGTTGATCTTGCACTAGGTGGCACATGTCTCCAAACTGAAGGCTAAAGACAGTGGTAATATGTGGTGTTGTCTGTTGGGTTGAAGTGGGTGAAAGTTTGAACCCGAAAAATGTCGGCACTGCAGCCTAAATATGCAAGACATCCAACACAGTAGTCCCTTCCTCCTCAACAAGCACCAGGACAACAAGTGTCTCCGGCAAGAGCAACCACAGTACATGCCACGAGGAGTAAACGATCAACCAAAAAGCATGCTCAAAACGGCCGTCAAGCGGTCTTGCCTTGTCTCGGCTACCGCTCCCAGCCATGACACCCAGAGTCTAGTAAAATGCGTAAAGTAATACAGCAGTGGCATAAGTGGCAGCCGACAAAGACGCTACCACACCACTTCAAAACCGAACAATGATAATCCCATTCACAATCACGACCCTCTCCTCACTCCCCATCCCTACCCCTCAATCGATGATCATGATGATCATCAAGCATTAGCCGCAGCGGGTATCTTCCCGCCACTCGGCACAGGCGCATCCACCACCTCATTCGCCAACGCGTCCACCAGCTCCGAAGGTGGCCCATTCCACAGCCCGGCCCCGCACTCGGCCTGGATCTTCTCGCACATGCCCTTCTCCCATAGAGAGCACCCGCGGTACCCGGACGGCGGCGCGCTGCTGTAGCATTCGTCGACCTGCCGCCAGCAGTCGGACGAGGCTGCCCAGCACGAGGCTTCGTCGGTGTAGGCCGGGAGGGGCGAGGCGCACCAGTTTGCGTTTTTCATGACGCAGTCCTCGGGGATGAGTCCGTCTGTCTGTTTAAGTGTTTGCGTTTGGGTATTTGGCTGAGACGTTGGTTGAGTTTGTGGTTGAGTCTGTGTCTGTGTCGATGCCTGCGAGGATTTGCGTTGGCAGCGGCTGAGCTGCCGGCGGCGGGTGGTGGGAGTGCTAGAAGAAGGGAAGAACACCGCGGGGCCGACGACTTGGTATGGCGTCGTGAGGGGGTCGTCGTGGTAGATGTTGAAGGTCAAGCCTGGGTGAGAGGCGGTTACATGGCCGGGAATGGAGACCTCTTTGTCCTCAGGGATGCTCAAAGGGGAGGCCGAGGCCTGGCCCTGGACGAAGATCTGCGCGCAGTTGACGTAGGGCTGGGGGTCGACGCCGGCGGTAGCGGTGACGTTCTGCAGCGAGATGATTTCCGTGCGCGCGAGGTAGTACCCCGTGGGCAGGCCGGACGGGAGATTGACGCTCAGGAGGCCGTCGTCGGCGATGAGCTTCTCCGTGGCCCACTTTTTGCTGCTCGCGTCGTAGCCTTCGTCGTAGATCTTGAACCAGCCCGGGCCGGCGGCGGCATCGGTGCTGATGTTGGAGACCTGCTTTAGGTAGATGGCGGCCGAGCCGAGGTGGGAGGCGTCGATGGCGCCTGGTTGCCGGGCGTCGGGCCAGGCGCGGAACTCAAAGGTCAGCTTTGCGCCGGCAGGGGCTGGGCAGGTGAATGCTACGGCATTTTCGCCGTCTCGGCCTGAGTTCCGGAATGTCAGATTTAGACAGAGGCAGTGGGTATATAGGCCTGGTAATATTGTAACTTACCGCAAGCCATTTCTGGGCTGTTGAGACCGGCAATGGGCCCAGTTGAGGTGCTGCCATCCTTGGGCATCCGGACGCAGGTTCCATCGCCTTGATTGACGTCGTTGATGAACAAGGTCGTGAACAGAGTATGCGCTGTCGACAGCGAGGCGAAGGCGGCCCCTAGGCCGAGTCTGAAGAGAATGTGAGAATGCATATTGCCTGCAATGTGAGGAAGGCCAGCTCTGAAGGAAAGTAGAAAGTTGGGTAACAACACAACGCTAAACAAGACGTTGAAGTGAAAAGAATGTCCACGTCTGTGAAGAGAAAATGTGGAAGGAAAGGTCGAATCGATGAGAAAGGAGAAAAGACGACGGAACTGGAAGAAAAGAAATAAGATCAGCCCTAAGCAAGGTCTGATCTTAAGAAGTGGAGAGGCAACAGCTGACCCCTTGAGCCAACATAATGAAGGGGAGTCTCATGTCAAAAGAGCAAACTGCTGCGGGGCCGTCATCCTTCGATCTGAGATCGACGACTGCGAGCGAGGCGCAAAAAGACAGAAATGACAGGCCACACAAGCTATGAAGGTGCAGCTTCTCAGACAGTGGCGCATCTCCTACCCCTTTCAAAGTCGACCTGGTCCCTGCCATAGCTCAGGATATCCCGAGAACCGGCAAGCTGGTCAAAGACCCAAGATCCATGAATTGTTTTCATCACTCCCTCACTTTGCCTCCCGCGCCGCAATGTTGAGATAGAGTTGCTCACTACCCCTTGCATGACATTGTAAGTGCCAGTCAGTCGGTTACATCGCCTTGTGTGACCCTTTTGTTTGTGGCCCACAGCAAACCCAACCCCTGAATGGAACTTTCGGGCAAATGAAATTCGCGGCTCGTCGGCCAAAGACACACTTGTTTCGAAACATCGTTCGGAACCTTGGCGGCTATGTGATTCGACAGCGGCAACACATGTGGGGTTTGGCTGTAGCTGGGATATACTATTGGGTGGCATAAGCGATCCCGGTATGCGTAGGGCAGAGCCGGCTCATTGTTTCGTTTCTGAATAGTGTACTGATTGAAGACATTGTTGAATGGCGAGCGGACTCTGGTAGTTAAGGTTCAAGTTGTCGAAGGTCTGGATCAGGATGTACGACCCTATATATTCATCACATACAGTCCCCTCAGAACCAGGAAGGCCGAGGAGAAAGCCAAGAAGTCCTGAACCCGCATCCATATATCTGCCGGCGGCAAAGGTACTGTGCCGACCAGCTCGGAGCGGGAGCGGGATAGCTCGGTTTAAGCCATCGCGGCTCTGCCGAGCTAGAGTGCAACCCATCTTCCAGCTATCATGAACGAAAAGACATCACCAGGCCGGATAACTGCAGCAGTCTGTCAAAGTCAGCAATTGGCGGCAACCGACCAAGTAGAACATCTCGGCAAGAGTGGAGATGAAGTCTATTCCTTGAGTTCGGCGCCCAAAACACCAAGTATCACCACTGCCCTATGAATGATGCAGCCGCGAAGTGTCCGCTCTTCCAGGATCCGGACATGCATGCTTGTATTTTAGTACATTATATAGTACACATTTTCATTGCTTCATGGGTATCTTTTTTCGGGGTGTATCCATTTTACTCGTTGATCTTGGCCAGGATCCTGCCAGCGCACACAACAGTCAGCACCACAACCATAGCATCCACATCAACATGAACGCGACGACTTACTCGCTGTCCCGGAAGAGATGGTACTCCTCCTCGCCAACCTTGACCGGCGAACCACCATACTATCTCTAGTCAGCCAAATCTCTTCTTCCCTACCCAAAACTGGTTCAACAATCCCGCGGTGACCCGTACCTGAGGAATCAGCACCCTGTCGCCGGCAGACACGCCCATGGGCATGCGCTTGCCGTCCTTGTCCAGCCCGCCGGGGCCGACGGCCAGGACCTTGGCCTCATTGAGCTCCTTGACGCTCGACTCGGGGAGGTAGATGCCGCTGGCCGTCTTGGCCTCGGCCTTGATGCGCTGCACGAGCACGCGGTCGAGCAGCGGGACGAGGGACTTGATGGAGCGGAGCGAGGTGGCCTGCCAGAGTACCAGTCAGTCAGTCAGTCAGTCAATCTACCGTGGCTATCCACAATCGGCGGATACGGGCGGTATGACAACAAGCTTCGGAACGACAACAAGCTTCGGAACTTCCGCGAAGCTGTCAAGGGCGTTGAGGCGGGAAGTAAAAGGGACGGGACAAACTCACCATTTTGTCAAGTGTTGTGTCGCGTGCGGAGCAAAGGTGCGAGCGTTGGTCGGTTAGATAGAGATGATGATTACGCGGTAGGAAGATGGAGGAAGGAAGTCTGCCGAAGAAAGAGAGCTCCGATTTCAATTGAGGAACCGAGAAGCGGATCACGGACCTCATCAGAGCTTCCAAGACCATCTAGAAAGCTCGCCAATTTTTTACTGGGTCCGGTTGCCGGCTGACCAATAGCATCGGTCCGCGCATTCCCGGCCCACCAAGAGCGCCCAAGCCGCATCTGGAAATTCGTGGGGAAGCTGATTGGCTGCGAAGAGGAAGCCGTCCTCGACCTCAACCTGGATGTTTCCCATGACCCATCATGCTGGAATGTGATGGTATAAAGGTGGTTGACCATCTTCTTGAGCCGGAGACTGGACTGTGTAATATCCCAGTTGTTCTATTCAAGTGCCGGTATATAGTATATATCCCGACTATCTATGCATGCTGGTTCTAACCCTCAACGACCCTATAGTTCCCTTTCTTCCCTTGAGAAGATTATCCTGCTTCTGAAGCCCTGCCTTTGTATCTCATGATGAATGAAACTTGAATAAACGCCCTTACCCAGAAGAAACTTAACCAGATCTGAATGCGCCAGCAAATGAGGACTCCCTTTCCCAAACTCCATCCTCCCAAGATGACCGAAACAGCAGCTGAGAAGACGAAAATTGCCGCGAAGATGTAAACGGACCAAAAGGAGCCACCAGCCATCTCTCAGAAACCCCGAGATATTTTGCCCCCTGACATACTTTATCCTCAGTATTTTCAACCATCTACTTGCTACCAGCCGGCGGCGCCGGGGGTTCCAGCACATGCGTATGATCCTCAGCATTCGCCACGAGCCCAGGTCCGACCTGGCGGCAAATCACCGAATCGGCCACCCAGGGGTCATCCAGAATCTCATCCATTTTTGCCCGCTTCTTGGGGTCTAGCTCCAGCATGCGCCCGATGACATGCCTGCTTTCTCGGGGCAGCAGCCGAAGAATCCGCCACGGGCCGCGGATCACCTCCTTCTTCTCCGCCGGCGGGGGATTGGCGGCTACGCCATCATGTCCTGCGTTGGACGTTGTCGTCGACGCCCTCTGCTGCTCATGTTGTCCGCCGCGCGCTTCTTTGTCGGCATTGCTGCGGAGGCTGTCCGGATCATAGTCTCTAGCCGGCGTATCGTGTAAAGCCGACATGGACTTGGACGGCGGCATGAGCAGTTTCTTGGGATCGTGGCCTGGCGTCGGCTCCGCTGCGAAGAGCTTGAACGAGTTGTCAGATAGCCGTGGAAGTTTCCATGGGAAACGTCTGAGGGTCATGCAGCAGAAGATGATGGCCAGGGACCAGATGTCTACCGCTTGAGGGTCGTACTTCTTCTCGTCATACACTTCGGGTGCGAGATACGGGTCCGAGCCAACGATTCCTGTGACACTCGTTAGTACGCCTGTGCGCTTTGACTAGAACTGCGGGTTCCACGACTCACCCGATGCAAGAACGATGCCACTTTCAAAAGGGTATTTGAAGACATGGGCACTGCCAAAATCAATGATCTTCATGATTCCGTGCTCGCTGACCACCACGTTGTCGAGTTTCAAGTCACGGTGAGCTAGCCCCATGCTGTGCAGGTACGTGACACCACTCAGAATCTGCAAGAAGCAGCAGCTGATCTCCTCGCGCGACATTCGTCCCGTCATGACAATGGCGAAAAGATCGTACGGAGCGTACTCCATCACCTCGTACCACTTGCCCCGCTCCTGGACAATATCGAGCGTTTCAATAATGTTGCCATGGTGCAGCGAAGAGCCAATGCAGTACTCAGCCGTGAGCTTCTTGACGTACTCACGCTCAGTCTCGTATGAATGGCGAGGACGGAATTCCTTGACAGCAAACACCACACCGTCCTCGGCACGTTTCATCAATCTCACAGACCCGCCCGCCCCGGCTCCTAGCACTTTCCCGAGCTTTCCGTACTTAGAGGAGAGGCCGTGGTCGTCGCCAAAGGGAATCTGCGTCGACTTGGAGGTGGGTGGCGTCTTCGAACCGGATCTAACGGACGGGGCGGGTGATGCAGTTCTTTTTGCCTTATTGCTAGGACCCAGCTTGAAGAACCTCTTCAAGTCGGCCATGGAGCTATTCCTGCTGTGAGAAAGGCCCTCATTTGACCGGCGTTTGTCTCCCAAGGCTTTGGGAAGGCTGATGGTCGACGACCCAGGCGAATCCCGCTTCTTCTTCCTGGGGAATATGAAGCGGGAATCGATGCCTTTTTGTGCCTGCCGCCTGCTTGCGGCATAAGGATCATTGGCTTCTCCCGGTGGCGGCGCGTGCCGGGTGTAAAATTGCGACGCGGTCAACGCTCTAGACGGGCTCGTGTCACGGGACGGTGGCACCGAACTGACGGGCGATGTCGACCCGCTTGCAGCACCCACCGTGAACAGCCCTTTACGGTGGTCGCCGAGCGCCGCTTGGATCTGCTCCCTTCCGTCCGAGGTTGCCGGCCTTCGTGAGCTGCGATCAGCATCAATCGATCCATGGGCGACAACTGGGCGCGATGAGCCGGGTGAAGGCGCTTCATGCATCGATTCCTGGGGCGTGATGATGTCTGAACTGCGCCCTCTGTCGTATACTCCGGGTGGTTCCCGTTTCGGTCCTCCGTCTGTAGTGTCCGTTCCTGCCGGTGTAAGAGGCGGCGAATGCATATCCATGGCGCGCGGACTGGCATTCAAGCGCGGCGAGCCGTGACTCGCTGAGTTTTGAGGAGTGGCCTGGCGACTAGGTTCTCGCGACTCATCATCACGGGATGCTGTCTGGATTTGCCTGTTAGTTGGGCGTTGAGAAAAGCAACCGGTCGAAAAATTGGAAAATGCGCCGCGGTAAAGCTGAAAGAGACCGCTACCAAGTTACACAGTCCCAACTGGACCGCCCGAGAACGACATAAAAAGACAGATCAGACGAACGTCCCGGTCGCCAAAACGACCGAAAACCAGAAGCAGCAGAACACGTACTCTTGAAGGTGGGAGGGAAAAGGCCTCGTAAGAGAAGATGTTCATTCTTCGTTCCTGGAGCGGGCAGGCCCGCAGCCTGTTGGAGAGGTCGCGGATCTGATCCGGCGTCACCTCGCCTGGGTCTCCGAGCGCGACACCGTCGGCGGACGGTGTGATCGTGGACATTGCATTATCTGGGGCAATCTCTTCGATGGTCGATTTAAAGCGTACTGCGGGCGAGGATTGGAGCTGTTGGCCGTCTTGGTCGTCCTCGCAGTTCTGAGCGGCCGAGCCTACATTATCTCCATACATATTAGCAAAAGAAGGCTTGGGAATTGCTTCAGCTGACGAGCCCAGCAGCTGCGCCAACCGATTGCGACTTGTGGTGGGGGCAATTCCGTATTCCGCGTATTGAGGGGCAACCTTTGTGTTTTTTTCCTTACCGTTTGCTTGAACTTTCTGGCGGTTATCCGCCGCCTTTTGGGCACTGCTCGCCATGTTTACTGCTATCAACACCGGAACCGCGGGTTCTTGGGAGAATGTGCCGAGGCGAAGGAAAGCGCGATGACGGGTGCAAGGATCAAAAAAGCGATTGCAAAAAGAAAGACGGTCAAATAAAGATGACGGCTTTGGCTGATAGCAAAACAGAAGTCATGGTGTGTTGGTGGGGCTCAGGTACGGATACTTTGCAGGTACTTGGTCTGGGGAGGGGTCGGCCCCGACGTTGGCTGCCATCTGCGGGAGGCACGGGTACCGTCCAAGGGCCGCTCCGTAGACCTTGACAGGCCCTTCCTAGCAATTGAGTCTCCGTGTGATTATTCCCGGGTGCTAAACCGGATGGGCATGAGTATGATTCATGTCCTTGGACGAGGCAACTGTGTCAAGTGTTGGGCTGATGAGCTCTGTTCCAGCGGGGACGCAGATAACCCGAAAGACACAGACAATTCATATGATAACGTGAGATCGGCACCTACGGGTGCGGGCTCCGCGGCAAAGGTGTCAACTTATCTATACGTCTCCCTCAAGTCGTCTAGCGTACGTAGCTACCCTTCTTGCAGATACCGGTACTGGCCATTCTCCGCATTGGATTGGTGCAATTCAAAGGATAAGTGGCAGCAGTTGGCTGATTATACACCTAGCTAACACGTGCAGCTCGGGATGGCTGTCGGTTGAGGAAATGCATGGGCCATGATTCCGATCGCAGCCGGGATGCTCGGAGTTCGGAACGCCTGACCCTTTCGGGGCTGCAGGCGCGCCTATCTTCCGTAAAGCCCCACCTGCCTCAACTTTGACAGGCTCAAACGTCCAGCTCGGCTTGTGACGCCGAGGTCGGGAAGGGACACGACAAATCCGGTGGTCTTTTCTCTCCCTTTAGCTGCGAGACCCATAAGACAGGTCTCATTCTTACCGCTGGTTTGCTCTATCTCGGTGTAGAGAAATGGCCCGTCTTAAACCGAACTGTCTGCCTCTCGAAAACCAGGCGAACAGGATAAACATGTCGGCCATTCCGCCTTGAAGTCTTTCCAGTTTCCAACTGCAGTGATTGATAATACAATGATATTACAGAGAGGGCTGCAGCGGGCAGCCATAAGGTATCAGTGATGGCCACATCGCCAGACGATAGCCTCATCCCGAGCCGTTTGAGAAGCAACCGCAACACCAGATGCGCCAAGCCCGCTGATGAGCATCCACAAGCCTTCAAAGAGCATCTATGGAACGACTGCGATGCCCATCGACTTGGCCTGGAAGATGATTGACCGGCAAAGCCCTTCGAGTGACAGGCCAGAAAGCCGTGTCTCGGATTGCTTGATCTTTGCGATTTCGTATACGTGCTTGAGGCTCACTGTCCCTACCGTCTCCTTGCCCGGATTGCTCGCCCCTTTCCTCTTGCCCTTTTTTTTGTCCATAGGTACTTCGGCCGCGTTGAGGAGAAGCCATGACGTTTGTGGTGTCCGAATCTCGAAGTGGAATGTCCTGTCTGGCCTGACGGTTACCCGCACGGGCATTGGAGTGCCGGGCTCGATGTGTTGTGTCCTGGCATTAAATTCCTGTATGCTCCTATTAGCGTAAAAGCCCCAATGGAAAGCAATGAGACTGACCTTGCAGAAATCCATTGACTTGATACCCTTGCTACCGAGAGCCGGACCTACTGGAGGGCTGGGACTTGCTTGGCCGGCTCCGACGATGATTTTGACCACCTGCTCTACGCCGCCCGCAGCGGACCGAGCCTTCGACATTTTCTTCGGCCGAGTATGCGCACGTTTAAAGGTTCGGTCGCGTTAAGTACGTGTGCAGAATGTTTGTGTGCGCTCGAGAATCGCTGTTAAAATCGAATCGAAGGTGATATGGACGGATATCGATAACTGAGCTTGTCTCCAGATGGCAGCTGAAAATTAGAAGTCTCTAGCCACTCCTCAGCCACACTTTGGCCCCTGTCGCACAAGCCCCACCCCCTCGGTCGAAGGCTGAAGCATGCCCTGTGCGCTAAAGTAGGGGATTAACGCCAGTGACGTCCACAAATGTGTGGTTACAACAGTGATCCCCTGGCGTTACCGCAGTTCCGGCTCAGGTGCTTACCTGACCCAAAGGCCCGGCGTCCTTCAACGGCTTTGAATGAACGGTTTAGGCTCGGCTTACACCCATCTCCTCACAAGCCAACTTCTCTCACGATAACCCTTCATCAAGACTTGCCGCATCTGGCATTTCAGGACGCACATCATGTTCAAGTGGGCGCAGCAGCAGTAAGCTTAACTCAGAGGGTCCAATACGTTACCCCACCGTGCCCTCCCCGGTTTCTGATCTGATCCTTCGCAGGCTGGCCAACGTCGCCGGCACACAGGAGCCTATCTACGGCCCGTCCGCCATCAAGTCGGTCGCCGAGGAGGCTGAGACAACACCCTACTCGGAGCTCACTCGGGATGATCTGAAATGGCAGGCGCCGGAGTCGACCTGCGTCGAGACGCACACCTTTTATTTCATGCCCGACGGTGGTCAGCTTGCCTTTGTCCAGGTCATCTATAGTAACGTGGCGTACGTTGACCGCGGCTTGTCCATCCATCAATCAAACTCCCATGTGCTGATCCGATTGACAGCGGCATCCGCACGACCTGCCAGTTCAACTGCAAGATCTTTAACCTGGACCGCTCAGAACCCCACCTGTGGTGCTCGACCCCGCTACAAAACCACGAATTCAGCGAGGATTATACAGGCTTCTATGCGAACGACTGCGCGGTCGAGCTCTCGGAGGATGGCACGACTTACACGATCAAGTCGATGAACGATGAACGGGCGATTGTCAACCTGACTGTCAAACGGACAGCCCCGGGATTCCAGGCCGGCAAAACAGGCAAGACGCTCTTCGGCACCGACCTGTCCAACCCCTGGGGCTCCATGCGGCATGTCTTCTGGCCAAGGTGCGTTGCCGAGGGAACCGTCACCACCAAAGAAGGCCCCATCGACTTCAAGGGCAAGGCCTTCTTTGTCCACGCGCTGCAAGGGATGAAGCCCCATCACGCCGCGGCCAGGTGGAACTTCTGCAATTTTCAGGGCCCGACATACTCGGCCATCCTGATGCAGTTCACTACACCGCCCTCATATGGTTCGACCGTGGTGAACGTCGGCGGAATCGCCAAGGACGGCGAGATCATCATGGCGGGCTGCAAGAACGACGTGGTCCACCTTGAAACGAAAAAGGACAGCGAAAACGACTGGCCGGAGCCGACGACCATTAAGTTCTCATGGGCAGGAGCTACCAAGGACGGGAAGCCGGTGGAGGCTGTGGTCGAGGGCGGCCTCGAGGAGAGACTCGATAGGATAGACGTCATGGCCGAAGTTCCCGGCTTTGTCAAGAACATTGTGGCCGCCGCAGCCGGTACAAAGCCGTATATCTACCAGGTTCGTAATTCTCGTCCGTTCACTGCAAGCCTTGCGCGCCGCTAACCTAAATCCACTAGTACTCCCCGCAAAAGACAAAGTTGTCGCTGAAGCTCAAAATTGGCGATGAGGAGGTTACCGAAGAGGGCTTTGTCTTCAGCGAAGCGACCTTCATCTCGGAATGAGTACCGTAGTCTTGGGCTGCCAAATCTCGGGTACTTTGGGTGTAGAAGTAGATGCAGTTGGGGATTCCGCGTTACAAGACGGCGACGATGATGTGAGTGAGATTGGCCCTCGTTACTAGACTTATTGCACGACGACGTGGTGGTTTCGAGTGGACTGGTGTTGAATAATCCAGAAACTTAAAAACATAGGCTTATAGATCTAACTACCCTAATATAATCGCAACAGATGATGTACTACACATCAGACTCGGATCGACTTGCCCAGTCTGTTCTAACAGAATATTGAGAGTGTGTGTGGACCTGATGTTGATGATACCTCGTGAGCTGCTAAGACCTATAAGCGCCTGGGATACAGACGCTGCAAACAAGTGCTAAATAATATGCTGGATCGTCGGGCCAACTTCACCTCAGCCATTACCTACCTTGTTCAGCCACAAATCGACTGCACAATGAGCTTCAAATCTGGGTGTTGACTCGAACATGACGGAGGGGCTCGAGGAAAGCTCACAGTACATATTACCCCACTTTTGGTATCCCGCACGGCCCTTTCTCAACCGCGACTTCCCAAGTTGAACGGGAAACCTCATCGACGTTCAACTTAAAGTTCACTTCCTCATCGCGCCCATGGGCCCTTACGAATCCTCTCCGCCCTTGTTTCACCCCAAATTGTAACGCAAACAAACCCAATATACCGCCGACTATCCCCCAGCAAGGTCGGCCGAAAGGCCTACAGCGCAAGGGGGTTGCCCTCTCCGGCAAATAACTGGGGGGGAAGACTGGCGCGAAGCGCCACAGGTGTGTACAGTACCCATACTTCGAGTCCTCTCTAATGGCTCGTCGGTTTTTTCGCCTTCAATTGCGCTGGCTTGCTAACGCCTATGAATTGAATGACAGAAAAATAACGAAGGATTGCATTCGTGGAATTAGTATGCCATTATCCTTCTCCTTTGTTTACCATACCAGACCAATTTGCTAACCGGTTACTCTAGCCAAGCCAGCCATCCGGTAAGGGAAAGAATCTTGGTTTCACAACGTCTCTAGTTTCGGGCATTCGAGTGGCTCTGGAGACAGCAGCTGTGCATTTTTCCCTGTTCACGTCCATGCTCGAGAATCCTTCTGAGAGTCTGGCTGTTGCTCCGGTCGCTCCTTCCGGAGTGGCGCTTTCAGTCATCTGGTTTTAGCTGCGCTAACAGTGAAGGTTGATGATAGCCGCCTCGCCCGGCGTGGAGGTGTTAAACGAATATCAGCCAGCATTTATGACGAGATCCGAGCGGCATTGAAAGCGCGTCTGGAAATGGTAGGTCTTTCTGCAATTGCCCACCAGCAGCTTCTTCTGACCTTTTCCACAGATCTTGCGTGACTGCGTCACGTATACGGAATACAGAAATGCAAAGACAGTGACAGTCCACGATGTAGTAACTCCAACCGCTGGGCCTTCAAAAGTTTAGCCATGCCAACTGATACCAGGTGATCTTCGCACTGAGACGTATTGGAAAGCCTATTTACGGCTTCGATCCAGAAACTTGGACACCCCCGAAGAAGAAGCAACAGGTCAACAATCCGGATGGAGATGACGATGAGTGAGTTGAGCGCTGTCTGCTAATCGGAAGGCCCTCGTTTTCCCACCTGCCGCGGCTTGTATAGGGTCATGCTTCAGGTTGGTATCAAGGCAAATCTTCCTGTTCTTTTCTAGCTTATGCTGGCGCTAAGGCGCAAGGCGCAATCTCCGGATACCAGGTTGGCACATGGGCTTCTTTTTTTATCTTGATCTAGGTATGGGTCGGTTGTGGGACTGGTCTCTTCGGAACAAACAAACGGGATACTGGCACATTGAACTCTCGGTCATCGACTCTTTGTGACGTGAAGCAAGACTCGTAATCGTCATATCCTACCAGGGCCAGCCCTATTCTTTAACGAAAGTCTACGTGGTATCTCTGTATAAACAAAACTGCTGCTCTCTCTTCCAGCAGCGTCATGCGATCATGAACATCGTCAGCCGTCCCTTCCCGCTAACGCCATATCCAACCGGGCTTCAAAACTCAACTTCCCCGCACCTGCCATCATATATCCTCCCAAACCAAACGCATGGCAGACCCACACATAAACATACCCTACCCCGGCACACACACCAGGGCCCAAGCCTCTCTCTCACCTCCGCCTCCCGCCTTCCCACGCAGCCAACACGGCCTCCAGCGCCCTCGCCGCCCTCATCTCCCTCTGCCTCAGCCCGCGGTTGAACAGTTCCGGCAGGACGGCCACGCTGTTGGCGTGCTCGCGGGCGAACCCAACCTGCGCGCCGCGCCCCCGCCGCTCGCGCGTCAGCCGCACCGCCTCGCGCAGCATGTCGCCCCCGACCCCGCGCCCGCGGTACCGCAGCTTGGTCGTCCACGCGCGTATGACACCCTTGCCGCCTCCTCTTCGGCTGTTTTGGCGGCTGTGGGGTTTTCGGCGGTTGCTGTGGTTGCTGTGGTTGTGGTGGTTTGATGCTGATGGTGAGGAGGAGGTGGAGGTGGAGGATGAGGAGGAGATGGAGGAGGTGCGGGAATGAGAGTACGCGGTGGTGCTGGTGGTGGTGGATAGGGGGGAGGAGATGTGCGGGTTGCTGCTCCCGGGGCGCTCCAAGCGGAGGATCAGCGCGCCAATCACTTCCCCGCCGAAGCGCGTGCCTATGACCACGTCGTTGTCGGCGAGAAAGTCCCATGACAGTGCCTCGGCGGCGCGCAGGTAGCCGGACGTGGCGAGGCGGATTGCTAGTAAGTAGCTTGTCACGGCGCCGCTGGCCAGCAGCATTGCCGTGCCCGGGTCGTGGTGATGGTTGTGGTCGTGGTGAGCCCAGGCGTAGCGGTAGATGGCTGCCAGCACGGCCAACAGCCCCGCCAGCGGCAGCGGGTGGAAAATGAGGCTCATGGCGGCCTGCTGGCGCTGCTGCGCGATGCTGTCGGCGACCAACTTGAGCGCGGCCGCCTTGTCGGCGCGCGAGGTCAGGATTTCGAGGGATAGTGGAGGCGGATCATCGTCTTCCAGAGCTGCTGGGCCGAGCGGGGTGCTGGCTGATAGGGGGGAGGGGGAAAGGGGTGGGAGGGACTGCGATGGGTACGGCCCTAGATTGGGCGTGGAGACGGTCGACGGCGTTGTCGAGTGTGTCAGGACCAGATTGGCCCGCAGGAATGTGAAGAATGCTGGTGGTCGCCATGTTAGCAACGTGATCCACTACCTCGGTTTGTTCGCGAATCCAGAATGTAACTGTGGGATGCCAACGGAGTGGTTGCCCCGCGCCCCCCTTTAGCCGTCGGCTGACAGATGTCACGCTTGCAGACGGTAAGGTGGATCTCGATTCTCAAGATGCCGAGTTTGAGCGGGAGATAAGTTTACTCCCAAATCTGGCCGATACCTGACGCTCAAGACCGTCTTGATGCTTGCATCTCGCCTGATCAAGTCCTCCACCGCAACTGACTCCATAACGGACAGATGGCGACATCTCAACGTCGATTTAAGGGGCTTTGTTTGGCTTACCTGCACTGGTCTTTAGAGCGGGCATTGAATTGATCCTATCAACAATAGTGCTTGTGTTGGCGGCGCTCAAGTTGAGCTCGGTGACGGCCCCTGAGCCGGCCATGTCTAAGACATGTACAAGGCTTGTACAGTACACGCTGCGATTCTTGTGTACGTCGGATGCTCCGTTCGGCGTAGGACGGGACGGGGCCCGAGGTGTCGGAAGCGAGGAGACGCTCGGCTAAAAAATTTAGGTAGCACCGGTTAGCTGCATTGCGGATACTCCGTATCGGCGAGTTCGGCGCCGTGGACCCTTGAGCTGTCGTCCGAATCTCCACTATCCAAAAGGGCTGAGAAGATGAAGATGGAGACCGTCTTTCATGTGAATGATTTACAAAGGAGCAGAAAGATATTGCTGGAGGGTAGGACGGCGCAACCCAACGCCAATCCAGTCGATCTCCGCAATCTGGGACATGGCGTAGTTTATCTCCCCTCACATAGATTAACCTGAAGCGGACGATAAGCGCAACCACTCGCAGGATGACGCCAGACAGGAAACAATGGAGTCGGCGATAACCGCGTTTAGAAGCCGTCCTGCATGCTATTAGTGTAGATAGACCGCTGACTGGTTCTTTCATGCTGCTTGCATTGCACCTTCACCCTCTCCCGCTCAAGCAAGGAGACACCTCGACGGTTATCCTTGCTGCCCCGCACAGATCTGCTGGTGGTGTCGAGCGGTTTTGCAGTCGTGATAAACCGATAAGGACAGGCGATAAATGAGGTCGCCAAGGCAAGGAGGGCATGCGGCCTTGATACAGTAGTCCGAATCACGGCAGCATTTTGTTCATCAGAACCAAGACGTCAGGTTTCCATTCTCCGACTGTACTGTATGTGCATACAATACTATACATAATACGAGGGATTGTTCAAGTGCAGTGATGGATATACCTAGGAGGATTGTGGAAGCCTCATGGAGCACGATGTCGGGTGCTCACAGGTGAGTCACCTACATAGCCAACTTCCTCATCTCAGGTTCCAGGAAACATCCTCGCCAAGGCGCACCTGAACTGGAAACATATCTGCGAATTCTGAATAGTTCCTCGTCGAAATATTACATCCGGCTTCCATGGATCGCTGCAGGAAAAGCTGGTGAATTGGACTGACGTCCTTTGTACGACGTGAAGGGTCTGAGAAGTGGTGAATGGTGAATGAGGTGCCCTTGGTGATCCAAATTTGTGGTGATCGGCCCCAGATCGGGTAGGCTCGGTATGTGTAGGAGGCAGCTGTGGGGCTCTGCACCAGTGCACCCTGCGTTGCGGGTTCCGGAAGGAAACGGGCAGCCAGTTTCTCGTACTGAACGGCCAGCTTACTCTGGCCCGAAGAATCCCGACCCCCAAAACCAAACCGACAGCCAAAGAGAGAAACCCATTGTCTCAAGGCTGTCATACGGGCCTGGATTTTTCGCTTTAGTGGCTTGGAAGGAAACTGATCCCAGCTGGACTCCGTACCGAGTTGCTAAGTGGTTCATGCTGCCAGTTTTTGATGGTCAAATGTCGGATGCCGGAGGAACTCGGCCTCACTGCCCGCGTTTGACTCCCCTTCGTACACTTTTCGTACATTTTATTCCCTATGAGTTGTTGGCGCAGCTAGGTATGGGTTGCCCAGCTTTTGTCAGCCAGACGCCTGGTATAAAATGCAGCATGGCTTCTTCGTCCGAGTCCATGCAGTCCTGGCCTCACCAGTGACAACTTAGTTCAACATACCTTACTTGCTAAGGCAATCGAGATACCTTAACTATCAGATCTGAACTAGCCTCCTTATCATCCGATGATTTCCGTTGGACCTGGGAAGAACATCTGCTCCCTCTCGCCTAAACAGGCAGCAAAGCTCAGCCAGGCGGCGGCACCTCTATTCTGCAAGATACATCCCGTAGCGGGACTCGGATATCCAGTCGGACTCCGTGCTGCTGCTGCAATCCATCAGTCCCGCCAGCCGACTTCCTCCACACGGCACTTCTCAACAACAAGTTCCAACCAGCTCCGGGACTTCTTCCCACGCAAAGAGACAACCTACATCCGGCAGACTCCGCCCGCATGGCCTCACCATGGGTACACAGAGGAGGAGATGCTGTCGGTGGTACCCGAACACCGCAAGCCAAAGACAGTAAGTGACTGGCTTGCTTGGCGTCTAGTCCGCCTGTGCAGGTGAGTTCAACCCGCAAATCTGCGAGAGAGAGAGAACCGGGTGGCTCTAACAGAAACATAGATGGGGTACCGACCTTGCGACTGGTGTCAGGCCGGAGCAACAAGTGGATAAGAAGAATCCGACTACTGCCATTTCCGCAAAACCGCTAACTGAAGCGCAATGGGTACGGTCCTTCCCCCGAATCCGCGTAGAAGGCATGTCCTAACAACGAACCCTACAGCTGGTGCGCTTCATCTTCCTCGAGTCGATTGCCGGGGTTCCAGGCATGGTTGCCGGGATGCTCCGGCACCTCCACAGCCTACGTCGCCTCAAGCGCGACAACGGCTGGATCGAGACGCTGCTCGAGGAGTCGTACAACGAGCGCATGCATCTGCTGACCTTCATGAAGATGTCTGAGCCCGGCTGGTTCATGAAGACGATGATCCTGGGCGCGCAGGGCGTCTTCTTCAACGCCATGTTTCTCAGCTACCTGATCTCGCCAAAGATCACGCACCGATTTGTCGGCTACCTCGAGGAGGAGGCCGTCCACACGTACACCCGCTGCATCCACGAGATTGAGCGGGGCGACCTCCCAAAGTGGTCCGATCCGGCCTTTGAGGTTCCCGAGATTGCCGTGACGTACTGGCGGATGCCCGAAGGGAAGCGCTCCATGCGAGATCTGCTCCTCTATATCCGCGCTGACGAGGCGTGCCATCGCGGCGTCAATCACACCCTGAGCAACCTCAACAACAAGGAGGATCCCAACCCGTTTGTCAGTGACTACAAGGCCGGCTCGGATCGCCAAAGACCTATCAATCCGGCCTTGAAGCCGACGGGGTACGAGCGAGAAGAGGTCATCGGCTGAGAGTCGTTCTTTTTGAAATGGTCTTGTTTTTCTCACGTTTTCTTTTCCACCTGCATTGTCGCAACGGTCCAGTGGGTTTAGTTTGTTTTTGGACATTGGCCGGCGGCCGTTGGCAACAAAATAGACATGATACCACCTTCTCCTCTCTGCATCATGGTAGTCAAGGGGATTTGGGATCGGAAAAGGCAGGAGAAAATGATTAAGGCGTTCGGGATACATTATGGCGTACCAACCGTGGGGTTTTGCTTTCAATCGGAATACTCGCACGGGCGACAGAGACCATAGAACTCATATTAAATTGCGCAAATCAACTGGACTCGAAGTTCAAGAAAGAACCTACTCATCCAGTTGTGAGATGACGAATGAGTTGCGCGGAATCGGCTCCTTAATGCATCGCCACACTCCATGCAAGTCAGCCCTCACCCCTTTCGTCCTCTCTCTGCCCCCCTGTTGTCAACGTCACTGCTTTCCGGCCCTCACCTTGTTTATTCGTCAGTATTTCGAGAGTTCATGCGAACATACACTTCCTAGCCAAGATGTTTGACATGGAGCTTCTGTGTAGGTGGACACTATCCCACAGGTATTGTACCTGGTGGTGCATGATCGATGCTGACAACTCACTGGATCCGTTGCCCACAAACAGTGGAAGGGTTTGGGTGGGTTTTGGACACCCTTATATCACGAAGGCCAACGGATATAAATGCGGATAGGGCTGCAGGCCATTGTCGTCGAATCCCAGCTCTCCTTTCCAAGGGCACGCGTTCAGGTACCACTGCGGGCGACTGCCGCTAAGCGAAACAGCGGAAACAGGTTTAGGTAAGTATCCGATGCATAAATTGTACACGAGGGTTGTCTGGGACAGCTTCAAAAACTCTCACCAACAGGTGGGTGGTATAGAAAGGATGGTGGCTTAGTATTGCCCGCGATGGAGGAGCTACGCGAGTTGGTGTTGAGGGGTTCGAGATGAAGCTGTCTTCTCTTTCAACAGAAATCTGTTCAGAACCTGCAATCTCTGTGTCACGAGCCCCGACAGCAGCCTCGTTTCTGGCGAGTTGTGCCTTTGTGCGGTCTTCGTTGCCTTGCGAATCCTAATGCGACCTTCCCCTGCCCCGCCTTTTCTTCCCGTTCCTCGGGGCCCCTGTAATAGCTTGGGCTCCAAGGTGCTGACGGCGCTGGGCGCCCAAAGGCACATGGATCTTAGCTCCCTCGCTGTGAGTCCTAACGTTATGGGCCGCACGATGCTCTTGGTCTGCAGGTGGTCGGTCAAGGAGCAGTGGAGGTGAAATAGGTTGGGTGTAACTTTAAGGTTAGGCTTTTGATACCACAGGTCTAGGTAGGAACCCGTACCCCACATATCGCAAGGACCAGCAGTCCCTGACGCCAAATTGAGCAACTTCTTTTGGAGTTCACATTCCATTGACAGACAACTCCAGTCATTCACACCGCGCTTGTTGAAATTACACTACATCCATATGTACAATACTCGTGCAGACGGGACTGTACGAGTTCGGTGACGGCCCGACGAGACATCAGAGGATGGCGGCTAATGCGCCCAAAGGACTGAGATCTGGGCGCCAAGACTGTGCATCAAAACCCGACAACGATTCGCTTGTCTCAGTGCTCATACCCCACTCAACCCCGTGCCCTGCCTAGACCGACCCAGCTCTCACCGGCCCCTCAATGCTTTGTCGTCTCCATCCCACATCCCATGTCGTGACCAGATCGAAGTGCGACCCCCTTTTCAGTCACAGCGCTGCAAAACCGCTATATTCAATCTTGCTTTGGTCCCGATTATACTAGCTGTCTGGCAGCGACGCAAAACACCCAATCCTATTCTGTCCTCTCTTGGCTTTGCCAGCTAAGCACCCGCAAACTTTCGCGGGGCGTCAACGTTGCAGCGTGTCAGATCGCGGGCGCGTCCCGAGTCGCTGCACAGCCCCTCTCTTTGCACAGCCTCTCTCCAAGGCAGTCTGGCGGTCAGCCTTACACACTTCTAAAGACAGCAACACCATTGTTGTACATCCGAGTAAACGGATCGGGATCGTCCCATGGACCAACAGCATCCCCAGGTCCGCGGGCGATCGCTCTCGGCAGCATCTACCGGCGGCGGAGATGCGGCGCATCAGCCACGCCATATAAGTAACCATTCTCCGTCGCCTGCCCGCTTCCCCAATCCGAACGAAGCCGGATCGTCACCTCTTGGTCTTGGTCTCGGTCCTGTCGAGTCTGCCGCCCACCAGTTTTCCGGAAACCAGTCCGACTTCTCGGCTTATGATGCCAACGCGGGCAGCTTCCTGAGTAACCAGCAGCCTTCGCCCCAGCCCTTCTCCCAGCCTGGCCTCACCGATCCATCCGCTATCGCCGCCTTCGACTTGACTGGAAGCTTTTCGTCCCAGACGCAGCAGCAGCAGCCTTCTGGTCTGTTGGCGCCGACCTTTGGCGACGCCGACTTCACTATCTTCCCGCCTACTCCGGGTGAGCCACAGTACACCACGCCTCTTTTTGCTGCCGACAGTCAGCAGCAACTGTCTCCCCCGGATCCTAACATGATGGCACAATCACCGTCCTTCAACCAGCACCAGTTCCCAAGCCCACCTGGGAGACACTCAAGAAATGTCTCGCTTGGTCCAGAGGCTGCTCTCCGGCGAGGACAGGACTGGAGCCCCAGCGGTCCTCAATTCCAAACACACAGACGCAGCCCGTCAGAATACTCTGACGTCTCTTCCGCCGCGCCCTCTCCCCATCTAGCCAGCTCAGACACTTTCGACCAGATTGACCACAGCCATTCGCCAATGCAACGGCCGCAGGACGCCGCCCTGTTTCACGAGCTACACGGCATTGGAAGCTTTAGCATCTCCGATTCCGGGGCGCATTCTCCCGGGCACGCTAGGAGTCCGTCTCATAGCCCGGCCATCTCGCCGCGCATACCGCCACAGCAGCTCCCTGACATGGGCCAGCAGGGTCATTTCATGCTACAGACGCAGAACAATGGCTTTGGCCCGCCGTCGTACTTGCAGGCTCCGCAAGAAGCATTCCCCCAACTCCCGCAAGAGACCCAGGAAATGCAGCAGGGGGGGATGCCCGCTCCACCGTCCATCAACATTGACTTCGCGCCAACAGCCGTGAGAACCGGGTTTGAACCTCCAAAGCTTGATGTAGACTCGTTAACGCCCCCAGAGCGAGGTTCGTTGCTCTATCTGCCCGTGTGTGAGCGTAGAAGACTAACTATGCCATTAGGGCGACCAAGATCGCGGCCGCGCGCTGCCACTGATATAGGCCCCTACAATAACGGCGGTGCTCTGCTTAGCAGTCACCGCAGCCCTTCGGTCTCGGGAGGTCTTTCTCCTGATTCTGCCGCCGACGCACGCTCCGACTCGTCCCGTTCGTTGTCCCCTCTCGACCGCACAGGCGGCTCGGGTAGGCGGCGTCAGTCGACCTCGGCGGTTCCAAACAACGTGATTGCTCTTCGTCTAGCCGACCCCGACTACAACGGCGCCGGCGGGCAAGGGGAAGCTGGTGCAGGCGGCTCGAAACGAGTCCAGAAACACCCCGCAACGTTTCAATGCTCCTTATGCCCCAAGCGCTTCACGCGAGCATACAACCTGCGGTCGCACCTCCGGACGCACACAGACGAACGGCCGTTTGTATGCACCGTCTGCGGCAAAGCCTTTGCACGTCAGCACGATCGCAAGCGGCACGAGGGTCTCCATTCCGGAGAGAAGAAGTTTGTCTGCAAGGGCGATCTCAAAAGCGGCGGACAATGGGGCTGCGGTCGACGATTCGCCCGCGCGGACGCGCTGGGCCGCCATTTCCGCTCCGAGGCTGGACGCATCTGCATAAAACCGCTCTTGGACGAGGAGATCCACGAACGGCAGCGGGCGTGGAACGAGCAGCGGGTGCAGCAGGCCGCCTCGCAGGGCATGGTCATGCAGTCCCCGGGCATGATGATGCCGCCCGGCATGGACCCCAACGCCCCGGCCGGGTACCCGATGGATGCCAGCGGGAACTACGCGCTGCCGCAGGCACTGCTGGCGCAGTATCCCGCCCTGGCGCAAATGAATTGGTCGGGCAACGGCATGGAGGATGATTTGAGCGGCGGAAGCGGCTTTGATGCCAGTGATTATGACGACGGCGACGATGGAGGCTACGTCAGTGGACCTGGCACCGGGTTTGGGCCTGGCGGCATGCAAGAGGGCTTTGGTGAGATGGGGTATGCGAGTGACTATGGCGGACGTTGATGTTTTGTTTTCTTTACTATGGGTTGTTCTTTTACCTCCTTTATCCTTTCGGTTCTGGTTGCCCTGGTGAGGGAGTATTCCGGTTTATATCGGCGCATCTTGGGCTCGGCGTGGTTATGCCCCCCTTTTTCTGAGCGGGTAAGGACGTGTCGCCTATATTTGTCGAACTTGCTTTAGTTCGAATTCGTTTCTCATGTGGATATCCCCCTCGACTCAGTTATGTTTGCATCCCTCACTGTGGGGTTGTTCATGACGTTGATGAATTTATTATCGGACTTTTACTGGCCGTTTTTTGGGTATGGGAAGATGGACCAAGGCCCAATCAAGCATGTGGATGGCACGGCACTTATGGATGGCTATGGCTATATTATAGGGGTATTGGTTTTCTTAGACCGGGTTGCCGCCGCTTATAGATACCAGCCAATTTTGAGTCGTTTCTGTTCCTCCTGCGGTTGTTCTCGCTCAGAGAAGTGTGACCTGGTCTCGTAGAGTAGTCCTTGGGTGAGGTATGCTGCTCGAGTGTTGGGTGTTGCGGTCAAACTCCCTAGGGAAGGCAACTTGCACATATGGTTACGCTGTGTCGTGAAGAATCTTTGCCTCAAGGGGCACAGCCTAGCTAGCACCGGTAATAGCATGTGGGCTTGTCCGCTTCTTAGCCGGACAACCGGTGCATAAGGATGGCCTCGAACTGACCCTACACAAGTTAGAGCAGCCCGAGTCAGGTCTTTGGGTTCCTACCCGGACCCGGAATCGTCTCGAGAATCCAACGTGGTGAAGTAGCCCGCTCTAGGACAGCCAGGTGTCCAATTCGCGGGGACTTTGCTCAATACCTGACACCTTACCATGCACTGGTAAAGATTGAGCATAAAATCCTCCAGGAGTCGAAGGGAAGGTGGGTGATTATCAGTGGTGCGCCAGGTGCAAGTAGCGTGAGCTTGGTGGTAATGCAGAGAATGTTGAGGCCGGCCTCATCGCTACCATGATCGACTTTCCATGTGCGGTAACCATGCAACATCTCCGCGATTGATGGG